ATAAACTTATTCCCCAACCTATATAATACTATTGTAATGAATAATTGTATTTATATCTTATTACGATAGGTGCAGCAGCTGTTCCCGCATTTCCCACGAAACCAAATTGTGGAGGACCTCAGGATCACTAGATCAGTGGAGTGGACGGTGGAGAACATCCTCGATGGAGTTCTGAATTCTACGTTTCATTTGATGGAGGAACCGGAGCCAGAATCCTACATTGAGATTCACACCAGGAGCAGCGAGTCCAGCAATTCCTTGGATTCCTTGTCCGCGGATCCGGGACTTGAAATACCCCTGGCCGATAGGTACTTTGCTTCCTTCAATCATATTTGTATTTGAAACTTTATAATTTTTAGTTATCCAATTGATTGACTGCGGATTTTTACGCTGGATGAAATATTCATGGTATCAAATTTAAAGTTTATCGTGTAAATATTGTAGTTTCTGTTCACGTCACAATTTCTACTTTTATTTTTATTTTACATTCTAGTTTTTGAAGAAACAATACGTTCACCTCGTAATTGTATGAAATTAAGATATTTAAATTGTATTTTACATAAATAGTTATATCTTGAAAACTAATAATATTTGAGACTTGAAAGTCGAGATTATGAAGCAATTTCATAGCTAAAACATTAGACACAGTATTTATATATGTTAGAAATGTATGTTACGAGATTATTGAAACATAAAATTTTTGATTCGCAGCGGCGAGGAGCCTTCCAGCCTCGGCGTGCGATTTTCGAAATCGCCGGCGGAGAGAGAACAGGTACTTCAACGCCGCAAGGAGCTGATGAGAATCGCTGCAAAGAGGAGATACTTCGAAAAGCTGCGAAACGATCCCGACGCCGAGGGAAGTGTCCCGAACATAACCTCTGAAGCATAGGGATAGAAAACCAACAGACACACAGAATTATACATATATATATACATATATATGTATGTTTGCATGTTTATTAGGCTGCTCCAAAAGTTCTCTTCGATTTTCGACGTCGAATGGCTAAGACCTGCGGCCATTCGAGGGTGCGTCGAAAAGACTAAAGAATTTATGGAATGACTTACGATAAATATGTACGTCGATAAGAAAACAAGCAGACAGACAAGATTTTTGATTTATTCGTGCTTCGTAGCGGCCATCTTCTTCGAAGAAGAGTAATAACGACTGATTTCCTTCGGTATGCGTCTACCGACGTTCACTTACAACACTGTTTTCCTTGTTTCCGATCCTTGCGTCCCCCCTACTTTTTCTTAAAACCCTGTGCTCACGCCTTTTCTTTGTTCCTAGGATGTTTCCTCGACGATCTTAATCATTAGCACTTAACGGGGACAACGTTTAGAAAATATCCTCGATCCTTTAATGTTTCCTCTACGATTTCCAATGGAGATTACTCGCTTTCGACGTCGATATCGTTTCCTAGCAGTAGTTCTATGGAAATTGTGATTTACAAAAAATGAAACAAATAATCGTGCTTAAGAATAGGTGTTTTTTATTCTTAAGGAAATACGAGGACAGACAACTTAAAGAAAGAAAGAAAAAAACAATAACAAAAAAGTATTAATCTCTCAATTTAATTCTCTTTAGCAATAATAAGGATCAACTTAAAAGTATTACTCGCTTAATTCTTCTCTATTCTCTTTTTTTTGAATTTTTTATTTATTAAAGTAACGATTAAGAAGAACGCAATCTCTCCTTCGCTTACTAAAAATCGATTTTCTGAAGAGGATCAACTGAATTCTATGGTTTAAACAATCCTGCCCGTAGGAAATTTATAACATCGTACTAGAAAAGTAAAAAATATTTTTCAAACGTAATCGAAATTTAGTTTTGAAAGGAAGTGAAACGATACTTAGGATGTTTTTTTTATTTCCATTTCATTTCCTTAAGAGAAACAATTTCGTTGTTTTTATCTTAATTTTTGTCTCTCGGTAAGACTTTCGTTGGAGCCTTCTTTTCCTGTTCTCGACGGAAACGTTGCTCGCCTCGGGAATGGAAAAAGAATTGTTTAGCGATTAACGTCGACTGGTTGTGAATTATATACTCACTCGGTGGATTAGAGGACTGATAAATATAATAAGGAAGATGACGATTTAATTAATTCGTCTTTACTTCTCTTTCTCATTCGATTGATGATTGAACAATAAAAATTTAGCGTTTTCGTGAATAATTAACTTAGTTATCGCAATTTTTGTTATATTAATTTTATTGTAATATTTAAATGTTTTCATTTTAGAGGTAATATAAGCGATTGTGAATAAACTTATTTAAGCCGTTGGGAAGAGATAGATTATTTAAAAAAAATGAAGATATATTTGCAAATAAATGATACACAACAAAATGATATTGTTTGTAACAGAACGAGGAAAAGCGACCACTTTTTCTTTCAATTAGGATACCCATATTCCTTGATCAATCACGAGGGAATGTTCTTATTTTTATTTTACAACATGCTAGCACTCTGAATGTTAAATGTAACAAACCAAACGATATGTTTCGCGTATTAAAACAGAAGGAAATGCTCGAAATATAATATGTAAAATAAAGAATTTCTTTAGCGGAGTATTCTTTTTCAATACCCACTTTTTATTAGGAGAAGCTCTCATTACAAAATGTGTGTATAAACATGTAATAATTATAATAAATTCTTCATTTATCTATTAATTAGTGATTCTTCAGTTATTAAAATAACGTAGTAGCTTTAGTGGACCTTGACATATGATTTTCAATATCTTGCGGGTTCAATTTCAACGATTTTAGTCGATTGAAATTGATGAAAAAATTCAGAGACTTAGTACTATACAAGTGACATATATGAGAATTTTCTTCATCCATAACTTGTATTTGATTTAATTAAATTAAAAACAATTGGAGACGAAGAATTGCCAAACTGAAGGGATGTCCCTTAATGTATGATTTTCGCTGTTTTTGGAATTTAATTTCTGCGATTCAAGTAATTCAAGGAACGGCACAATGTGTAACGAAAATCCTGGATGAGATCGGCACGCAGACCGATTTAAAAAGTAGCATTAAGATCTCCTTTCGACCTGGTCATCTCGTTAAACGTTACGTTATTCCGTTTTGCAACTCATCACGCTCGTTTCATTCAGCTGATACTAGGGACTGTACGTACGTTTTTCTCTGGATTGCCGCAGGATTCGTGGATTTAGTAATTAGACTTCGGATTTTATGATTTATAGGAATACCCAATGTGCAGAAATGTGCAATTGTCTTTTCGTCCAGCTAATACTTGGGACTGTACACTTTTTTCTGGTGGAGGATTCATGGATTTAACAATTAGACTCCGGATTTTATGCGTTTATGAGAATACTTGATGTGCAGGAATTATAAAGAACACATTTGATATGTAGAAAAATGTATAGAATGTGATTACAGTCATATATTTAATCAATCAAATAATAATAATAATGAATTTGATAAAAAGTTTGTGGACGAACTGAAAATATCGCAACGTGAATTCCCGTTCGTCGATTACGCAAGGACTTGGTGTTAAAATGTTTTAACAATGAAGCGACTTCCCTGAATCGCCGAAAAATCTTCGATGATTATTAATTAGATGAACGGCGGTCCCCGGAGCACGCGTTTATCGCAACGCGATTGTTTCCGTTCACGTAACTGCCGACTGCCGGGCCAGCCGATCGGCTCATTGATCCACGAGATTAGATATATCGTCCATTGTCCTATACGAGATCGGCGATTATTAAATCTGTCGCATGGCCCCGAGCGATTCCGAACTGATTCACAGTCGCCTCACGCAATTCGTGAAATAAAAATACCAAAATTCATTTGTATTAATTTATTAATTAGAATTGATCAGACATTTATTCCAGCAATATTCTTCTTAATTCATCTTAACATTTAATTAACACTACTTACAATTTACTTCGTAACTGATAATACAACTTGGAAAGAATTTATACCTCCGCTAGGCTGCCTAATCTGATGCAAAAGCATTTGAGATTGATGCAATCAATATTTCCGAAGAACCAAGCGCTACACGTGAGACATAATTCCAAAGGCAAGCGCAATAAGAACATCATTACAGGCAAGATGACAAGAACATTCGTTAGAAGATGAGAGAAAGACAGCTGATAAAACAGAATGCTCTCTGTCAGTAGAAATAATTCATACCACGGAGAACTGAAATGGAGAACAGCTACGAAGTGAAGCTAGGGGATGAAAAGGAAAGATAGAAAATATCGTACATAAAGCAGAAAATGAATAATTATTAGTATCAAAATGTTAATGAACAAGTATAAAAATAGTACTTAGTAAGTATTAGATTAGTCGTTTTCATTCTATTACATGGTTAATGTTAGAACGCACGTTTTTACAAGCATCTCTCAAATTCTTTAGGTCTCTGTTACTAAGGTAGATTAATATTCCTTGAATACAAAGTAAATCATAATATTTACCGAGGAAATGGCGGAAAAATGTAACGCCCTCGTCTAACAACTCCTTTCGTACCATACCTCTATTGAAACGACGTCCTATTATGTCTTCGTACATAGGAAATTCTCTCCGATAATTGCACCGTTTCAAAACCTGAACAACATCTTCATTCCTCGCGTATAATGCTATTTGGTCAACGCGTTTTGTTAGGATATCATGAAATGTTAGGATAGTATTGTTCATTTTTGTGTTTTTCATTCTCATTATCTCTTCAATACATTTTTTCTGAAATTTTAGAGATTCCTCGTTCATATCCGTAGTGATATTAAAATTCACCATATTTCCGTTATTCACGTACAAGTTAGCAATCTGCATTTTAATTAGCAGCTGCTGGATACTGGACAACTTTAAGCCATTCATAAGTCCATACTTAGAACAGTATAAGCTCAACGCTGTTCTATGGGTTTTGTTAATAATGTTTACGTCGCACGCGTTTTCTATGAGAGTCAGAACGGCTTCATACTGATTAGCGCAGGATGCCAGATGAAGTGCAGTGTCACCATTCCTATTTATGGAATCAATGTTAACGTTCGAATTCAAGAGAATTTCCATGATACGCCTTTGACCACGGTCAGCGGCAAAGTGTAAAGCAGTCCATCCACTTATATCTTTGTCATTTACGTCAGCACCTCTTTTGACTAGCATCTCGTAAATGTCTTCTACTCCTTCTCGCGCAGCAAAATGAAGCGGTGTCTCGCCCCACCGAGTTTTCCAATTGACATCGGCATCCTGATCTACGAGGATTTGCACGATATCTATGTGTCTCTTCTCAATGGCCAGGTGCAGTGCCGTTTTTTCACCAATACCTTTGGCATTCACGTCAGCTCCTCTATCGATTAGCAACTTGCAAATTTCTTCTACTCCTTCTCGCGCAGCAAAATGAAGCGGTGTCTCGCCCAGCCGTGTTTTCAAATTGACATTGACATCATGATGTACAAGGATTTGCACGATATCTATGTGTCTCTTCTCAATGGCTAGGTGCAGTGTCGTTTTTTCACCATTATCTTTGGCATGCACGTCAGCTCCTCTCTCGATTAGCAACATGCAAATTTCTGTCTGTCCTTGTCGCACTGCAAAATGGAGCGGTGTCTCGCCCAACCGAGTTTTCAAATTGACATCGGCATCCTGATCTACGAGGATATGCACGATATCAATGTGTCTGTTCTCAATGGCCAGGTGCAGTGCCGTTTTTCCACTATTGTCTTTAGCATTCACGTCAGCTCCTCTCTCGATTAGCAACTTGCAAATTTCTCCTAGTCCTCTTCGCACTGCAAAATGGAGCGGTGTCTGGTCCTCCTCAGTTTTCAAATTGACATCGGCATCCTGATCTACGAGGATTTGCACGATATCTATGTGTCTCTTCACAAAGGCTAGGTGCAGTGCCGTTTGTCCACTATTGTCTTTAGCATTCACATCAGCTCCTCTCTCGATTAGCAACTTGCAAATTTCTCCTAGTCCTCTTCGCACTGCAAAATGGAGCGGTGTCTGGCCCTCCTTAGTTTTCAAATTGACATCGGCATCCTGATCTACGAGGATTTGCACGATATCTATGTGTCTCTCCTCAAAGGCTAGGTGCAGTGCAGTTTTTCCACTACTGTCTTTAGCATTCACATAAGCTCCTCTCTCGATTAGCAACTTGCAAATTTCTCCTAGTCCTCCTAGCACTGCAAAATGGAGCGGTGTCTGGCCCTCCTCAGTTTTCAAATTTACATTGGCATTCTGATCTACGAGGACTTGCACGATATCTATGTGTCTCTCCTGAATGGCTAGGTGCAGTGCCGTTTTTCCACTATTATCTTTAGCATTCACGACAGCTCCTCTCTCGATTAGCAACTTGCAAATTTGTCCTAGTCCTCTTCGCACTGCAAAATGGACCGGTGTCTGGCCCTCCTCAGTTTTCAAGTCGACATCGGCATCCTGATCTACGAGGATTTGCACGATATCAATGTGTCTGTTCTCAATGGCCAGGTGCAGTGCCGTTTTTCCACTATTATCTTTGGCATTCACGTCAGTTCCTCTCTCGATTAGCAACTTGCAAATTTCTTCTACTCCTTCTTGCGCAGCAAAATGAAGCGGTGTCTCGTCCCGCCGAGTTTTCAAATTGATATCGGCATCCTGATCTACCAGAATTTGCACGATATCAATGTGTTTCTTCTCAATGGCCAGGTGCAGTGCCGTTTTTCCACTATTATTTTTGGCATTCACGTCAACTCCTCTCTCGATTAACAACTTGCAAATTTCTTCTACTTCTGCTCGCGCAGCAACATGAAGCAGTGTCTCGTCCCGCCGAGTTTTCAAATTGATATCGGCATCCTGATCTACCAGGATTTGCACGATATCAATGTGTCTCTTCTCAATGGCCAGGTGCAGTGCCGTTGTTCCACTATTATCTTTGGCATTCACGTCAACTCCTCTCTTGATTAGCAACTTGCAAATTTCTTCTACTCCTTCTTGCGCAGCAACATGAAGCGGTGTTTCGTCCCGCCGAGTTTTCAAATTGATATCGGCATCCTGATCTACGAGGATTTGCACGATATCTATGTGTCTCCTCTCAATGGCTAGTTGCAATGCCGTTTTTCCACCATTATCTTTGGCATTCACGTCAGCTCCTCTCTCCATTAGTAACTTGCAAATTTCTCCTAGTCCTCCTCGCACTGCAAAATGGAGCGGCGTCTGGCCCCCCTCAGTTTTCAAATTGACATCGGCATCCTGATCTACGAGGACTTGCGCGATATCTATGTGTCTCTCCTCAATGGCTAGGTGCAGTGCCGTCTTTTCACCATTGCCTTTGACATTCAGGTCAGCTCCTCTCTCGATTAGCAACTTGCAAATTTGTCCTAGTCCTCCTAGCACTGCAAAATGGAGCGGTGTGTCGCCCAGCGGACTTTTTAAGTTAACATCGGCATCCTGATCTACGAGGGTTTGTATGATATATTTGTGACTCTTCTGAATGGCTAGGTGCAGTGCCGTCTTTCCATCTACGTCTCTGGCATTCACATCAGCTCCTCTCTCGATTAGCAACTTGCAAATTTCTCCTAGTCCTTCTAGCACTGCAAAATGGAGCGGTGTCTCGCCCATTAAGATTTTTAAGTTGACATCAGCACCTTGATCTACGAGGATTTGTACGATATCTTTGTGTCTGTACTGAATAACTAGGTGCAGTGCCGTTTCACCATATTTGTTTTGGGCATCCACGTCAGCTCCTCTTTCGAGTAGCAACCTGCAAGTTTCTTCTAGTCCTTTTCGCGCTGCAGACAGAAGCGGTGTCTCGTCCCACCGTGTTTTCAGATTGACATCGGCACCCTGATCTACGAGAATTTTTACCACATCTTTGTGTCCCTTCCGAATGGCTAGGCGCAGTGCCGTTTCACCATTTTCGTTTTGGGCATCCACGTCAGCGCCCCTTTCGAGTAGCAACCTGCAAGTCTCTTCTAGTCCTACTAGCGCAGCAAAATGAAGAGGTGTCTCGCCTCTCCGAATTTTCAATTTGACATCGGCACCATGTTCTACGAGGATTTGTACGATATCTTCGTGGCTCTCGTGAATGGCTAGGTGCATTGCTGTTTCTCGATCTCTGTTTGCGGCGTGCACGTCAGCTCCTCTTGCGAGTAGCAACCTGCAAGTTTCTTCTAGTCCTTTTCGAGCTGCAGAATGAAGCGGTGTCTCGCCCCACCCACTTTTCAAATTGAGATGGGCGCCCTGATCTACGAGGAGTTGTACGATATCTTTGTATCGCTCCCGAATGGCTAGGTGCAGTGCCGTTTCACCATTTTCGTTTCGGGCATCCACGTCAACTCCTCTTTTGAGTAGTAACCTGGAAGTTTCTGCTAGTCCTACTCGCGCAGCAAAATGAAGCGGTGTCTCGCCCCTCCGAATTTTCAATTTGACATCGGCACCATGTTCTACGAGGATTTGCACGATATCTTTGTGTTCCTCCTTAATGGCTAGGTGCAGTGCCGTTTCACCATTTTCGTTTTGGGCATCCACATCAACTCCTCTTTTAAGTAGCAACCTGCAAATTTCTTCTAGTCCTTTCCGCGCTGCAGAATGAAGCGGTGTCTCGCCCCACCCACTTTTCAAATTGAGATAGGCGCCCTGATCTACGAGGAGTTGTACGATATCTTTGTGTATTTTCTGAACGGCTAGGTGCAGTGCCGTTTCTCCATATACATTTGTAGCATTCACGTGAGCACCTCTTTTAATGAGCCTTTTTACAGTTTCTATCTCGCAATTCATAACAGCAATGTGGAGCGGTGTGTTCGTATGACTTTGAGACTCACTGTAAACGTTCGTATCTTTGCTCATAACCAGTTCCTCCATATCGTCCGTCCCGTGGGGTATTATTATTAATTAATTCACTATTTACGTTTCGTGCTTCAAATCAATCGTTATTCAAGCAATCAAACTTACAACTACCTGGGATAGAAGGAAGAGGTTGTAAAAAAAAGGAGATCACGATTAAAACACTCTAATCTATTACAAAAACCATAAGTATTATCGCCTTTTTCCGCTTTATATAACCGTCAATGTCCTTGTATTATAGGTCGTTGAATTCGTTTTAAGATTCTCTATCATGATACGGAAACAACAATATATATATCCATTTAAAAAAATGGTGGTGACCTTCAGATGTCCGAAATACCTCCACCTGCTGAAAAACTATTATCACCACTGGACGGCCCCCTTCGTACTGTGCAATTTTGTTCCAAGAAATATTTTTTTAAAACTTAAAGTTTAGAAAATATTTGAGGTGGTAGTAGTTATTGCCCCACTCTGTATATAAGCCTTGGTTTACTTATTCATTAC